CTATCTCTTGTAACTTCGCGAGACCGTGATAATCAATTCCATTTGTAATAATCGCATTTATCGTTGTTCTGGACAACGCATCTGCCACTTCGTTATTATTACCTTCAATATACTGTATGCTAGAAGTAAATTGGGAAATAAATTCTAATTGTCGAATTTCCCTCGGCGAATAGTTATCCTGCTTGGCGTTTAATGCTTTCGTGAGGGGTTTATGGTCTGTATACACTGTAAAAATGGTACCCTCTATCATGTGTCGGAAATGTTTGATTGCCAAGTAAATCGCTAATAGTTCTCTTCCGAACGTACTGTACCTCGTTTGTGTAGGGTTTAATCTCCTCGAGAAAAATGAAATCGGTTCCCATGTACCGTTTACTAACTGCTGCAGTACAGCTCCTACTGCTATGTTCGATGCGTCCGTCATGATGGCTAGTGGCGCTTCGCTCTTTCGTCGAACTAATATCATTTTCTCATGAAGTGCTCGCTTAGCGTTCTCAAAAGCCTGTATAGCCTCTGTCGATAGATGGAATGTTCGGGTATTTCCTCGCAAAGCGTCCGTTAATGGCTGTAGTATTGCTGCGCAGTTTGGAATAAATCGCCTATAGTAGTTTATTAGTCCCAAGAATCGTCGTAACTTTTTTTGTGACTCGGGCAACGGATAATTGCGAATAGCAGCAACTTCTGCTGGAACTGGCATAATACCTCGAGAATTTATCATATGACCTAGGAATTGCAATGATTTCTTTCCAAATTCACATTTTTCCACGTTAATAGTGACACCATGTTCTTGAAGTCTCGTGAATAACTGTCGTAGATGTTGTAGATGTTCTTCGACGGTAGCGCTAGCTACTAATATATCGTCGATATATGCGTATACCCCTGTCAAACCTCTAACAACCTGATCAATAAATCGCTGAAAGGTTTGAGCTGCATTAGTTAGTCCAAATGGCATTCGTAAAAACTCAAATAAACCAAATGGAGTGATTACAGCCGTTTTCGGTATGTCTTCTGGGGCCACTGGAATGTGGTAGTACGCCCGAACAAGATCAATTTTCGAAAAAATCGTAGCACCTTCCATTTCGGTAGTGATGTCGTGAATATGTGGCACTGGGTATCTATCTGCTATCGTTTGCTTGTTAAGGGCTCTATAATCTCCACATGGTCTAATTTCTCCATTCTTTTTGGGAACCATATGTAACGGAGATGCCCAGGGACTATTAGATGGCCTTATGATACCAAGTTTCATTAGTTTTTCGAATTCTCGTTTTGCAATGTTTAACCTTTTTGGGTCCAACCTTCGCGCTCTTACTCTAGTCGGTGGACCTTTCGTGACGATATGGTGCTGTACTGTATGTTTAAGATCTTTATTGTCGTATGATGACCTCGTTAAGTCGGCGAACTTATTTAGAAGTGACTTATATTGCTCGTTCCTATCTTTCCACACTACTAAATTCATAGATACATGATCGGTGGTCACTCCTCTTATGACTACTGAGCGTTCTCCATTCACTAGTTGGTTTCGTCGAGAATCCACTAATAGGTCAAAATTCTTTAAGAAATCGATACCAATTATGGGTACGGAAACATCAGCGATTACAAATTCCCAGCGAAGAGAAATATTACGGCCGAAATTCAAGGTTAGTTTTCGCTTGCCATATGTCTTTATATCGGATCTATTCGCTGCTTTAAGAGTTAGCGCAGTATCGATATTTTGTTTTTCGTTGCTCAATGGAGGGACGACGCTTATCTCTGCTCCCGTGTCTACTAAAAACTGCGCGCCCGTTACTCTGTCCTGAACATAGAATAAACGATTGCTCGTGGGAGCTGCGTTGATTTTCGTAGTCGTTACTGAGAATCGTTGGGATCGTTTAAATTTGCATGGAGACCTGCATTTTCGAGCTCTGTACCCAAATGTTTGATGGTACCAGCATATAGCAGGATCTGGTAGTCCCTTAGAAAATGATCGGTTTCTATCTCTTGATCTGCTGCGCGACCAACTTCTTTTCCTGTCGTTGTGATTTAGACTCGTTAATTTGTGGCATAGCGCATTAATTTCCTTTTGCAAGGCCTCGATTCTTTCGTCAACTGTGAAGTTGAGCGTTTGTGAAGTCGCATTTCTCATTCTCTCGTAAATCTTATCGGCTATTTTAGCGATGTTGTCTATGTCTACATCGCTATCTCCAACAGCGAGGATCTGCTGTACATTCGGTGGGAGTCGTCGCAACCATAACTGGTAAAATATATTTTTATCCACATTTCTGTCTCCAATTACGTTGCTCATATACGTTTTTAACTGCGAAGGCGTTCTATCACCGATTTGAACTTCACTGAGCAACTGCTCGACAGCTTGCCGGTCGTTTAACGAGAGAGCTTTTATTACTGCCTGTTTCAATACATCGTACGGATTTACCGCATCCGGCTTAGTTAGGACCTCTCGTACCTTGTCTGCTACTTCATCTGGAAGTAGTGAGCTTGCGTAGCCGAACTTATGTCGCTGTAAAAGAATACGATTGGCTACGAAGTAATTTTCAAGTCTAATAAACCAGAGTTGAGGATCAGTAACATTAAAAGAGGGAATAGTAACATTAATAACTCCCACGGATGGTGACTGTGAAAGATCGATTGTTTCGTTATTTAAAGACATTACTAATAATAATAATAATAATAATAATAATAATAATAATAATAAATTAAATAGTAAGCGAATATAACGTAATTGTCACTGAGAGAAATGAATCGATGAAAAAAATGATAATAACAAAAGGTACAATTTATAAAATGGAACAGACTTACTAAATTGCACCAATATATCAATTGTTCGTGAATAATCGTTATTTATTATGAATATTATCGTTAAGTTCAATAATGTTTATGGGATAATGTACGTGCGATTAAAATTGTGATATAATAAATCCACAATTATGATTATAATCCAGATAATAATTCGAATAGAAACAGAGTACGTTGAATTTTCGAAATGAAATTATCTCGTCGAAAATTGTTTTGTGTTCGCTCGTCGAGGCATCCAATTCTGTAGTGTCGTGTTCGTATGGCGAGGCAACCAATTATATTGCGTCGTGCTCGTTCAGCGAGATATCCAATTCTATTGCGTCGTGCTTGTTCGGCGAGGTATCCAATTCTATTGCGTCGTGCTTGTTCGGCGAGGTATCCAATTCTATTGCGTCGTGCTTGTTCGGCGAGGCCCCCAATTCTGTAGTGCCGCGATTCGTTAACCGTTTACTTCGATAACCGTTATAATTCTAAACTTAACGGTGCGTAAAATCAGAAGACAAAGGATAGCAGCAACTACAGTTTATTGTCGAATGACTCAGGTTCGAAAGCTAACAACACCTGAGCGAATATGAACGAGCGAGTGAACAGGCAAACAAGCGAAGGAAACGAACGAGGAGCAAGCGAGCGAGCGAGAGAGTAGCAAGCAATTACATAGGCAATTTATAGTCAAATTTAATAAGGGCACAGCAAAGCAAAACAAAGGCTGATAATAATATTTGTGTGCGTACATATATGGGGAGGAGTATGAGTCATCGAATGATATTTAAGCAGTCAACATTTCGGCTAGAGTGTCATGTGCTCTAGTGGTATAGCAGTGCAAAGAATATGCAAATTGTTACTATCCTAATGACAATGTCTGTTAAGTAAGTTATAAAAAAGGGCTTAACCAAAATTGGCTATAATCGAAATTGATTGTAGGATGGTTGCTATACTATCATTGTTTTGTTGTTCCGTGCTCTTTGCTTTAATCTTACTTTCTCTAGTTGTAGATAATTAATAATAACTCGCTCTGGCACTGGTAATAACCTTACAGAACAATGTTGATCAATCATCAGGCTATCCACTTAATAAAAAAATGACAAGTTCTCTGGTGTTGCATTGGCCTACCATATATAAACTATTTATCAATTACTAAACCAGCAAACATAAAACTTTCTGATCATGCCTGTAAACTGGTGTGAATTCTGTAAATATTATTTTCAGAATATATATATTATTATTATGATCTCAACTATATAAAATTATTAAAATCTACACAAAACCCCCTTGTGATACTGATATAATAGTTAACTGTTAATAATGTTGAATATTATCGAATTTTGCTAGACGGTAAAATCATCTGATCTCGTTCCCATATTCTAAACTATTATAATTCATGGTAAGCAGAGATGGATAGTGGCTAGCAGTGGAATCCAGTTTGACGCGCGTTTCGTCCTATTTGGGACTCGTCAACTGGATGTACCTGCATCTCAGAGTTGATGTTCACTCTGGGACTCGAACTCAGTATCCTCGCTTCAAACGCCATCGGCGTTATCCACTCGGCCACTGAGTCCTGATAGCCACAGCTTTCTAATATGTCATTGATTCTTATCTTTTAAATGTTTATAGAATACATTGTGTCTACAGAAATTCTCTTCAATAATTAAAATACAGCTATAATTTCACATTATATTCACTTGTTATTATATCCTTATATCTTCCCATTGTTGTTAAGGTGTGAAATTGATCAGTCGGTTGTTAGCGTATATACATCGTGTGCGGACTGTTTTGATATTGCCTTAAGTCATAAGCTTTATAAACAAAGATGGATGACGGCTAGCAGTAGAATACACGACGCACATTTGGAACTTGTCAACTGGATGTACGTGCATCTCATAGTTGATGCTTACCCTGGGACTCGAACCCAGTACCGTTCAATTCAAATGCTATCGCGTTATCCACTTAGCTACTTAGTCCTGATAACCACCTGCTTTTGGAATGACCCATCTATCTACTTTTCGATTAGATTATAAGCTTGGAAAGTTTAATATAAATATAAAATCGTATCATTGAAGTCAATTCAGTTTCATTCATTAGTTATCTACTCCTGTAAGGTACATACACGATTGATACTTAACAATCACTAGACATAGAATAATGATGCAATATCAGTTTGTATTTTAAAACAATTTATTCTATTAAAAGAAAAATTCACATCATTATTCACTAACCTTAACAATTTCTGATAAAGTAAACTGACCATCATCCCGAACAACAATGTAACGTTGTTTAGGAGGATCATTCATTATACATTGGATTACTCTAGATCAATAATGAAAAAAGATTCATTAAAACAATGTATTATTGTTTGTTCATTTAGTATTACGAAATTTCTAACAGCTTAACCATATCGTCCCAGATGGAAAATCTCCTGCTGAAGCGATGTTCGGGAGAAACATTCGAACTATATTTGCCGACATGTTGCCACCTAAACCAATGGTTGGACGCAGACAAAATCAGAATATCCGGAGTGCTCGTCAAGTCATACAGCGGAAAAAATCTTTGGGAACCTGTAGTCATTGAAAATAGAATGGGAAATGTTCTATACAAGGTGCGTAGGACTTTCGGAACGTGGATCAGACACACTAATCAAATATACAGAGGAAAAAGGATTCTAGACACCGTAGATAGTCAAGTGAGGCTTCCTCTAGAGATAATTACGGATACTCCAGTAGCAAGAACCCCAACAGACACCCATAGACATGGGATGCCAAGGAAGTCCGAACGCCGCAGAAAACTGTTACCAAGCTGCAAGTAGACCCGAAGAAAAAGTCTTGTTTCTTGAAAGGGGGAGGTGTTGGGATGATCCTGCAAATTTCTCGCAATTGACATGACAAGCTCATTTTATCCAATTAGCGTTTGATTACAGTTTTGTTAGTAACATATCGAAAATGAAAGGTCACATGTAGAGATTCTGATTGGCTGATTAATACACTGCTACTATGTTTAGCAGTATTCTAGGATTTTTCAGTAAAACCCAAGGACTCTTAAATTACTACAAAAACCTTATATTTTCTGTACATAAATGAACCTTGGAGTAAAGTGCTTCCCACATATTTTGTGCTTTTTCTCTCGTCTTCAAGTCGCTATGTAGTCATAGCTTAGGGGTTACGAAACTAGCTTAGGATCCGAATATAGCGTTCAACCAGTAAAACGTATCAGTATTATTTTTTGAATCTGATGTTTGGTCATTGTTGTTACTATGCCAACTTGGAGGCTTTTTTTGGAGATTTCTTAAAATTTTAAGGTTAACGTTATGAACTGATATCCCATGGGAAACCAAGAAAATACATAAAGAGCTTAAACTAACTATTTTGGTCCAGTTTAAGGATTCAAAACATTGTGTACAGAAAATTTCATAGAGAACTATCGTGAGACCTCAAGGTATTAGATACGATCAAATTTACGCCCACTTTAAAGGAAAGAGTCATGAACTTGAATAGATCAGTTGATTTAAGCTCCTTGATTCTCAACAGTTCTACAGTCTATTTCTATTTTTGGTTCGATGTGCTTTCCAGTTACATGGAATCTCCAGAATTTTTACTTGTATTTAATCGTACTATTTGACAAATAGCACTCATTCTGGAAATATCTATTATCAATATAGATGTCAGACACTGATTAAAGTGAAAATATATTGGATGAAAACTGTCATTAGTCCCCGAATAATCATTCACGAATTCATTGACTACCTTTTTTTTAGTTGTATAATAAAGAAGAGAATTACTGGCTATTGTAGGCAACATCATTAAATAAACGTATTGTAAACTTGGCAGAATAGTTCGTTAGTTTAAAAAAGAGTAAAATAAAATAAGTGAATACAAAAGAAAATGTTTATTTAAATTTAAGACAATGATCTTTTGAATATCAGTTGAAATCATGAGTCAATTGAAGCTAGACCACCATGGAAAACCTGGGAACACTGGACGGTCGTTTCGTCCTAGTGTTTGAACCCTCAGCAGTGCGTATCCACGATCCCGCCTCGCGAGATTCAAATCCAGGACCTATCAGTCTCGTGCGCGAGCACTTAACCACTAGACCACTGAGCCGGCCGGCATCCAACGGTTTTAATGTCTCACTTCAACCAATCCACAAAGTTGAGCAGTAACCAGTGGAGTTCAACCAGGTCTGTTGAGAGATATCAACTCACTGAAGACAGTGGTGGAACGTCACAAAATAGTATATTGAAAGAGACAATGAACTAATGACATTGAGGGTCCCTCCAAGTGGGAAATGTAATCTGAGGGTGAAAATGGGCGCCTTTGGCGTGAAAACAAAGAAATCAAATTTCCAAAATGAAATTACAAAACTTAAACATTTGCCAAGTGAGTTCTGGGTGTCTAGCATCCTCAACAACCTTCGTCATCACTATCATCTCTTTTTATGTACATTTGTTGAACAATACTAGTAATACGTTTGTGTGCTACTTATCTCGACATAAGTAGTGTATAATGCTAGTCAAGAATAGAATGTCTGGTAGCAGAAGGTCGAGAAGGAAAGAACGGGAACAGAAAGCATTTAGTATAGAAATGAAGGAACAGTGAAGTGTGAGACAATTGATTGACATATGGCCCCACTTGTGTTCTCGTTCACTACAATATTACCTGGCTAAATCTAGTATATGAACAGTTGGCAATATATTTTCTCCATTTAAATAAATTGGCAATTCATTTTGTGTTGACCAAGCCTCCTAAAATTAATTGAAAAGAAAAAAGGGTTGATTATAATTCAGGTTTCTATATTTTATGACACTTCTACAAAGCACTCTACATAAGAATGTGAATCCATGGAAAACAATTAAAACACAATGGAATAAATGAAAAGTAACTACTAAGCTTTACAACTACTGAAGTTCAACCTGATATTATAGATCTAAATTAATAATCCGAAGAAAATGGTCACGTTAAAGGCAAACTATATCGTTTAAAGCATGTAAATTTAGGAATGTCAAACCAAATAGAATAAAATTGTTAATTCACAAGCATGGTAAGCAGAGATGGATAGTGGCTAGTAGTGTAATCCAGTTTGACGCGCGTTTCGTCTTATTTGGGACTCGTCAACTGGATGTACCTGCATCTCAGAGTTGATGTTCACTCTGGGACTCAAACCCAGTACCCTCGCTTCAAACGCCATCGCATTATCCACTCGGCCACCGAGTCCTGATGTTGATATAACTCATATTGAATGTTAACTTGAATCTGTATATATGTTAAGTGAAAATTTAAGATCTGTGATCAGAATAAATATGGGTCAGATAGGGTGAGAGAGATTTATTAATTTGGATATATAATTGTAGAACCTGAAGAGAATTTATCGAAAAGAATATTCATCGTTCAAATATTAGTCTTTGAATATGATTGGGATCTTTAAACGATTATTATAGATCTGTTGAAAAACTTCTAATAATAATAATCAATAACTTCACAGGCTGATACCATATGATGGTTACCTGGCTACTATTGGTTTTTTTTCCCTACGAGGAATATGAATCTAGCTTCATCTACTTTAGTTTGACTACCCAGGTAATATCATCGTCCCTTAAAGAAACAATGAAATTGAGAGCTAAATGCACAAATCCACACTTCATCACTAGCTTAAATTGTGCTGTTGAGAAATGCTGTGACTGTTTATTTACCGATATAATTGTTTTGTGTTTATTGATATTAAGTTGGAGACTAGAATCAAAAAGCTTTGAATGAACCAATATTTTTGGAACCTAGCTTGTAGAACAAGGCATTATTCCAATATTGGGGGGGGGGTCGATGCATTATCAGTAATAAAAACCTACTCCTCCCATTCTTCCATTGAGATGTTACCATTGACAACTGTATTATTGAATCAATCAGGTTAGTTGAGTGATCATAAACTTGGTCTATGGAACCCGATCAATGCCAATTATTAGGCAATACTAGGATGATATCGTAGTACATTATGAAAACATTAATTTGCATAGTAAACGTCTATTTAAGTCATTTAGAGGCTTATGAGACATAAATGTGGCTATAAATCCACCCAAGTGTCAGTCCCAACTTAATTCTATTAACTGCCTTGGCTACACTGTAGATGCTCAAGGTTTTAAACCTCATATGAGTCACCTAGCTCCATTGATTTAGACACTGTCATCTACAAATATCTCAGTACTTCGGTAATAAATTAGCGCCCTTTAGTTTTACTACAGATTTGTTCTTAACTTTACGAAAGTAATATCTCCAATTTTCTACTAGATTTCTACTAAAGAATTTGTATAGGAACAACAGCACGAGAATAAACTAAGGAGAACTTTACGGTTTGTATATGGCAAGGCTGTTCTCAGACCATTTCCATTGACTGAATAATCCATCCTTACAACAGAGGCATCTCGATTGGGATTAGTTTTGGTTCTAGAGCAGAATGGGAAACTTGGTATTTTTATTTCGAAACTATTAAGCAAGAGCGAACAAGGATATTCTCAGACCCAAAGGGATGCTTTAGATATGGTATGGGCAATAAAAAGACTGCACAAATACTTGTTTTGTGTAAAATTTCATACTGTAACTGGTCATAAAGCGTTAAAGTTTATTTATCACTCAAATAAACCACTTCATCAGTCATCTGCTGCTGCAGTCTAGATATGGAATTTAACGTTAAGTGTTTATGGTTAGTACATTTGTATCAATAATTTTCTTCTATGGGATAGGGTTGCTGACCCCATGACTGACCATCCTCCTTTATCTGGGCTCTGAACCGCCATTAACTTTAGAAGGGCTACAGACGGAGTCACCACACATCAAATTCCTTGACTATGAGAAAGCATTTGACAGTGAGGATAAGAGAAACTTGTGCAACCTTCTTTAACACTACGGTAAACCTGAGAAGATTGTCAACATCATAAGAAATTTATACGACAGACTACAGTGCAAAGTCGTGTATGGGAGACAGCTAGCTCACGGATGCATTCCAAGTGAATACCAGTATCAGATAAGGATGCTTAATCAGAAAACGTTTAAAACGTTTAACAGCTGGTTTAATGATATTGAAGGTCATCATCTATTTACAGCTCCACGACATCCTCGGTCTAATGGTTTAGCAGAAAGCTTCGTTCAAACTTTAAAAATTACTATCACATTAGTGAATCCAAGTAATCTAGAAGAGGTAGAGATATACATCGATAATTTCTAACTTCAATGTTCCAATGCAGAACACTCAAGAATTCATAATAATCTAACTAAATTAATTAAATCTCGCATAATTCGAACTCATCTATTGAAAAAACATCAGAAGTACAGTCTTACCGAGGCAATGACTACAGACGATCTACGGGAATTAAAAGCCAAATAATGGGTATTCGAAGGATAAAGATTCTTGATTTAGCTGACCATTTAGTTCACAACAAACATACAGACTAAGTGAAGCTTAATTAAGTAGGTGAACTTGTATGATGATTATTAAATTGTAAACCAGTACATAGAATGCATGAATATCATCGTCCTATGTTTGTTGTAATGATATTTTGTTGATTATCCACATTACACAGTGAGATTTTAACGACCAGTATGTGAAGAGTGTATAAAATTCACGTAATAAAGATCAAATATATCTCTCAGAGGTTTTTATGCGTGTACCCCCTAATGCTACCGAGTCTTCAGAACATACCACTTAGTGATAAAAATTATTCAATAACCATATACAGTAATTGAACAATTTCAAATTTTTACAGTTACCCAATAGTATAAGTATTATTTATTTATTTGAACACATAAATGTTGATACAAAGAGGCACAAAATACATATGCGCCACACAAATCTCAATTCATTTTGTGTGAGGGCTGTGATACTATCCGGGTGATCAAACCGAAGCAGGTGGTTTTCTTAGGGGACCACACCCCGAGCATTTGGCCTAAAGATCTGATCCACAAGGTAGTAGAGCATCGTGAGGAGATGCACTCCCATGGTAGTCGGTGACCAACAACTGGTTCATACGCCATTTGTTCCTTCAGGATACTGGAACCAGCCCATGTGCACCACTGGTTTGGAATCAGGATTTTCCAACTCTCCTAGGTGAACTCTCCGTGTCCACCGACACAGTTAAAGCGCCGGACATTCGCTTTTCGTCCTCTCAATTTCGTAGAGAACATCCCCTTAACGAGAAGGCAGTGAGTAGGACTTCCCTGGTAGAGGCTATAAACGCGTGGCCATGTGAGAGCATTTGGAGAGGGAGAGCGGACTCTCCCCACTCTCGACCGTATCAGGGCATTCGGGGGCCAGTATAGTTTTGTGTGTTACTAACTGACTGAAAAATTGGTTATGAATGAATGAATATTAGTATTTAAGGTAAGTACTCACTTTAAATAAATGTTGAAAAAGATATTCACCGCATCCGTAGAACACTCCACATGCTAATACATAAGTTACAAATTTCTTTTTATGCTGTTAATTTAAATAAGAAAAGATATTTTTGTGATGAAATCAAGGATCTTATAGTTGGAATATTCAAAAAATTGGCTCTTACCATATCAACCCTATTTGCAGTAGAGGGGAGTGGGATATGCAATGTTAAATAGTTCCAAACTGAGAAAAAGCCACTAATCATGGGTCATTTGATTTTCACTTGTCTAATTTATGTCAGTTTGTGACGGGACGTGCCATCATCTTGAACTAGAAAAATGTACTTTAAATGGAAATGGGAACAAATAAGCTACAGATAATTCTCCGCGTCTTCATAACATCACTGATGTGTAATTCTATTTAAATCTTCAGTTTTAAATTGTTAATTAGAGGTGATTGGAACTCCGCCTGTAGCTCTTTTACAGTTACTACCGGTCCCAAGCCCACAAAAGAAGGAGGGTTAGGCATGAGGTTGGCAACCCCAAACTGTAGATAAAAACCTCTCCAAATAAAACCCCAACCAGATTAGAGAAAGTAGAACCATTTAAACTCTGCTCTGGGGGTTGAAGGAAGAATTATAACGCCTCAGGATGAAGGTAGAGATTCTTCAGACGTCACGAGGTCGATGCCCCTTCTAACAACCACGGCAACAATTTTTATACGTACATGGAATGTCCGAACAATGTAGGAGACCAAGAAGACCATTACTGTACAAGCAATCAGAGAAACTCATTGGACACAATCTGGACAGAAAAGGATAGGTACTACTGTACACCCATCATGAAGAGGAAAATTCTCCACACAATCAGGAGTTGCTCTGATGCTGTCCAAAGAAGCACGTAGAGCACTCGTAGGATGGGAATCTCAAAGATCTAGAATCATCAAACCATCCTTCAAAACAAAGGAGGGGATCACAATGAATTTTATCCAATATTATGCATCCACCAATGATAGCAACGATGACAATAAAGATCAGTCCTATGAGAGGCTGCAATCAATCATACCGAAATGGACAGGAAAAGACCTGATGGATAGACCTAGACGCCAAAGTCGGAATCAACAACACAGGATATCAAAATATCATGGGTCGACATTGACTGGGGGGAAGGAGAATGGCGAGATTCACCAGTTTATGTGCATTCAACAAAATGGTTATAGGTGGCACTATATTTCACCACAAATGCATACACAAAGCTTCATGAGTCTCACCGAATCACACCACGGAGAACCAGATAGATCATATTTGTATCACTGAAAAATTTGGAAGGTCAATAGAGGACGAGAGAACAAAGACAGGAGCTGACATAGCTTCAGATCACCACCTGTTTGTGGCCAAGATGAAACTGAAGCATTACGACGGTTCAATACAGCCTACCTTCGAGATACTAAGAAACCCAATGAATTCAAGATCACTCTCAACAACAGAGTACAGGTTCTACAGCATCTACTCAAAGAAGAAGAAACTACTATGGATGTCGACTGAAAACGGATCAAAGAAACACTCACTTCAAAGTAACAGAAGGTACTGGGTTGCAAGAAGCATCATCTTAATAAATGGATTTCTATCGAAGCCCTGCACAACATTCAAGAAAGGAAGAACAAGAACACAGCATTTAACAACAATCGAGCTAGAACAGAGAAAGTCAAGACACAAACTGATTACACAGAAGCACACAAACAACTGAAGAAGAGCATCAGAGCTGACATGCAGAAATACATGGGAGGACTAGCAACGACACTGGAAAATACTTCAAGAGAAGGAAATATGAAACAACTATATGATACAACGAAGATGCTAACAGGGAGATGTAGTAAACCAGAGAGACCAGTCATTGACAAACAAGGCAAGACAATCACTGATATCCAAAAACAGAGGAACAGATGGGCAGAACACTTTGAGGAATTCTCATATACACCAGCCCCACTAAACTAACCGGACATCGAAGCAACACACACAGACCTTCCTATAGATGTCATTCCAACAAAGATTGAAGAAATCAGCATTACCATCAGACAAATCAACTGTGGGAAAGCAGTACGATCAGACAACACATTTCCTGAAGCACTCAACTCAGACATTGAAGTGACTGGAAACATATTCCACGTTCTATTTAGTAAGAATTGGGATGAGGAACAAGTGTCGACAGACTGGAAAGAAGGACACATCATCAAGATACTTAAAGAAGGAGATCTCAGCGATTGTGAGGACTACAGAGGAATCACTCTACTATAAATACTGGGAAAGGTTTTCAACGGAGTTGCTGGATCGGGTGAAGGATTCAGTAGACGTTCAGCTTTAAGATCAACAATATAGATTTCGTAAGGATCGGTCATGCAAAGACCAAATCGTGACAATACGGATAATTGTTGGATAGTTGATTGAATGGAACTCGCTACAATACATGGACTTCCTTGACTATGAGAAGGCGTTTGACAGTGTGGATAGGAGAATATTATGGAAACTTTTTCAATACTATGGAGTTCCAGAGAAGATTGTCAACATTATCCAAAACTCATACGATGGACTACAGTGCAAAGTCGTGTATGGATGACAGCTGATAGATGCATTCCAAGTAAGGACTGGAGTCGAACAAGTCTGTCTACTCTCCTCCTTCCTCTTTCTTCTGGTGGTTGACTGGATTATGAAGATCTAGAAATCTGAAGGGAAGCACGGAATACAATGGACAGCTCAGAATCAATTAAACGATTTGGACTTCATAGATGACCTAGCTATTCTATCCCATACACACAAACAAATGCAGATGAAGAACACATTACGTCGGGAGATGGAAGCAGATATGAAAAGGATGAATAAAAAGTGGTGAGAACTGGAAACGATTACCCAGGACAGGGCTGGGTGGAGAGTGCTGGTGGGCGGTCTATGCTCCTCCGTGAGGAGTAACAGGAGTAACTAAGTTAGAGGTAATTGGATCAGACGCGTTTTAGTATTTCATGTTTTTTTATGTTCGCAAGCGAAGGTTCACTTCTGGACCACCTCACAACTGAACCAAGAGGGTATTATACCAAATATTTACTGATTATTGACATTCAGTAATAATGTTACTAAATCGATTTTTGGGGTTTTCCATCAAATACGTTCAATATTAATATCCAAATATTGACAAAATCATGGGAAATTAGAGAGTAATGACAGAAATTGGGGAATACAGATAGATTTCTATCATTGATTTTAGCTTAAATTACTTACATATTCGTTTAACAATACTATAATACTTCATCATTTCAATAAATACTGTATTTGCGAAATCGATCAATCAAATGGGGATAGCTTCCTTTTTTTCGTCCTTCAGATATTTGACAGAAATCTTTCAAAACTGTAATCAGTTTAAATAAGGAACTTGATGTATGATGTATGATTCCCTTACATTATATTTACTAAAATTAATAATCGTAAATTAATTCAAGAAGATACTCCTCTTTCGTTTTTTTCTCCAATGTTGAACCAAACTTTGAGGGGTTTTTTCTCTCCGTATTTTTCACAAAGAATCTGTCACATTATGATCGAAGTATTTATTATTTATTTATTTAAACACATAAATGTTGGTTCAAAGAGACACCAGATATATATGCGCCTCACAAATGTCATTCGATTTGTGTGAGGGCTGTGACACTGCCCAAGTGCCCAAAATGAAGCAGGTGGTTTTCTTAAGGGGCCACACCCCGAGCATTTGGCCTAAAGATCTGATCCACAAGGCAGTGGAGCATCGTGAGAAGATGCAGTCCCATTGTAGCCGGTGACCAACAATTGATTCATACGCCATTTGTTCCCTCAGGATCGTCCTCTCACTTTCGTAACTAACACCCTCGTCATGAGAAGGCAGTGAGTAGGACTTTCCTGGTAGAGGCTATATACGCGTGGCCATGTGAGAGCATTTGGAGAGGGGGAGCGAACTCTCCCCACTCTCGGCCGCACCAAGGCATTTAGAGGTATGAAGATAGTGAATCATCAGCCTTGTGAATATTTAAATTCATATGACACTGTAATTAAACGACAGAGAAACTATTAGTTACAAATATCACAATTATCTAGTCAGTAATCTAAAATACTTTCAGTAAAATGCAAGATTGATTAAATGACTGACTGGATGACTGATGAATTGAATAACTGAATACACTACTCTTTGACTCTATACAAAACGAGCAAATTTTATTTTAGCTCAAAAAATATTAAAACGGTATTTAATGAGCGAAACCTTGTAGAGGGTCTGGGGATTATTGGATTCAACTTCTATTATCATGTATAGCAACGGATAAAAGCGCCTAAAGAAAATTAAACACAGAATTGACGGACAATTCTGTTTTCAGTGGCTTTTGTTTTGTTTTGCATACAAAATCATGAGGAGTAGACAACCAATATATACCTATATCCCAGAAAATTTTCTATTATACTCACCTTTCTACCTAACTTCAAAATTGATTTTTCACATTCTAAATACTCTTTAAATTTTGGATGTGGTTTACGACGTTTATGTTCGGATTCCACAAATCCTGGATCTTCCTTTAAAATAATTTGGAAATATAAATTATTAAAACATCTAACCACTTTTTATGATACATTATGGTTATAATCGTTCGGAAAATGTTCTATGGACTTATAAATCTCTCACAATACAACATTGTATGAATGATTTTTAATGCACGGTAAAACATGACGTTCAACACTCGGGAAATTACATGATTACTATTTCTATAATTCTTTAGCACTTATGTTAAATACCTTGATTACAGTTTTCAGACTAGCAAGCGCTTCATTCAAACCCCTACTTAGTGGACTAATATAGTCTTTTTTCATTACAGTTAACAAACATTGTCTCTGTTTTTATTGGGATGTTAATTATGCTATCATAGCATTCAGTGACCATTTTTCGCTGATATCGTTAGGGATGTTCACTTTCTTCATTTTTATTTAAATACATCATTAACATTCTTCTGAAGATAACGTTCGTTAGTTTATGAATCTCGAAACCTCTTTAAACTCTGTCTTTCCAGCTACTACTGAAACTGTTACTGATTTTACAACTATGAGATTAGTCTTAAGAAATTTATCTTCCCATGTTTATATAGCGTGACGACTTAAACCGACGCACATACGTCAAATTCTTCGTTGCATATTACTCACTGACTGATTGGAGAGAGATGATGATGAGAGTCTATACTAATCAGCCCAATTAATTAGCAGTATTTAATTTCAGGAGTTAAATGGTCATACGACTTTTAAGTATCAAGAACATAAAATTCCTGAGTATGTAATCAAAGCTAATAGAAAAAACACAGAAATTATCCAATAAAATAGGTTGACCCTTATAATCAAACTAGTGCATTCTACAGGACATGCCTTTTTCCATTTTGACAATTCAGTTTGTTTCAAATTAATCCTTAAAGTTTCAAAGGATCCCCTTTAGTTAAATCCTAAGTACCACAGAAAAAAGGGGTGAAATAAAAGCGAACTTTGAGAAAAATTCATAGGGGAGGTCGGTGTGAATATAGGAGGAAAATATCTCAAGCTTAACCCTGTCACCTTCCCCAAAATTAACAACGATCTGTCTTTTTTCTAAAAAGTGAATAATCAATTGTCCACTTTTCTTTTAAATATTCGGCTATTCGTCGGTTATTTAGGGGAAAAGTCGGTTATTCGTCGGATATTTAGGGGAGAAATCGGTAATTTAGCGACATTTGAAAAACAGAGCGACAGAAAGGGGAAATTACGCTTTATTTCCCCCGGACAGGCGAAAAAGCAGACATTTCGATGCATGTCCCCTTTATTTACGACTTATTTTCCAATGCATTTTCCGCTTTATTTCCCCTTTGTTCGCCTTTATTTCCCCTTTATTGGTTGTTTGGGAACATATGTTTATGATCCAAAGTATGAGTTAAGTATACTGATATACTTGGTGACAAATGTCATACTAACCGGATCATTTGGCTTAGTTGATACCCAACTCATCAAATTTGTCACCAGAATAAATATCTTCTTGGAAACAAATTGGTCTGACTTCTTCTCCAGACACTCACTAAGCCATAATACTTCCTCAATTTGTTCAGGATTGATGGTGATGTCGTACATAATAACGTCAAAAGTTTCCACGTGCTCCAAAAATTTGCTACGATCATCATACTATAGACAAGCGTTTTTAATAGACTTCAGTTAATGGTAGATTACATCTAAAATATCCCTTGCAAACGGAGGTTTGTTTGAGTCAGAATAGCGTAGTGTCCCATTTATTATGAAACAGTTTTCTTTGGGTGGAGAAGGTCCACCTGGTTCCCACTTCTCTCTCGATAAATCTGCATCCTGTTTCTCATCTTCTATTCCAGATCCAGGGATCTGTGTTGCCAAGTACTGCATTATTTTATGAATTAAGAGAGATACAGAGACTAACCTTTCCAATATTTTTGCCAACAAAACAATCTATCTCGCTGATAAATATGTTTTTTGATTTCGGAGATTCGTCTTCATTCATAACTGGCTCATGTGTCACTATAACAACGGCCAACCCAAGTACCTCACATCTCGTCTCAAGGCCATTTGAATATCCAAAGCCTCCATTACCCGCTTGTATAACCAAATAATTTCTCATCCTATGCTTGTTGTTATTTTGATACGACTTCATTAGTTAAGTGATGTGATAGCCTATCAACTTGATTGTATTAGTTTGTAGTGACCGGCCAGTCTCGATAAGAACACGATTGGAATAACAGAAACAATTATTATTATTGTAACCAATTGTACCAGAGATTGTTTTACTGTATTTGTTTAACTGTATCGGTTTCACTTCTGCTTTCTCTCTCCGCCTTGTTTGGTTCGAACTTGCTCACGCACTGCCTTTTCGCCTGTACTCTTTGGCACGTCTCGGTATTATTTCGATACCACGAGATCGCCGATAAATACAATTGATCTGGATTAATAAAGTCTTCTGATTTACAAGCTATCAAAGGAACCAAGTCATATTTGTACGCGTAATCGAATAGTAGTGGTGATCATAGTCCGTCCACGACTCGACATCCACTACAACTGGTGAGCCGTTGTTGGAACACGCAATACAGCTGGTAACCCAATCCATCGAGCACAAGTCAAACTTGGCCAATTCTCCAAACCAGATTAATCCGCCTACGCCTCCGACCATCGCTGTTACGGTATCGTCGACTTCAGTCAACTTTCGCGAAAGCTGGCCTGATCACCCACGCACTCAGTCGATCTCTCTGGCTCCAAATACGTATGATATACATTTGGTCCCGAACATGGTTATCCTGGTCGCATCTGGTTCCTTGGCTCAATCTGGTTTCGTCCTACGTCTGCAGCGTTTCTGGTCCGGACCTCTACGAACGCAACCTTCAGATTCTGGATACAAACCACTCTGGTGTAGCATGCTAATCCAAGCAATCAATACAGCACGTTCCTTCTGGTACCGTTCTACGTCAAAGACTTTTGGTGGCAACTCGAGGATCAACGATCACTCCCTGTTCTGCCAACGTCTTCGTCCTACAATTGCACGTTTCGCGATCAGTCCCACGAATGAAACCGCTACGTATCGAAAGTGTAAATCCTTTCTAGCGGGGGGCTCCTGTAGTGACCGGCCAGTCTCGATAAGAACACGATTGGAATAACAGAAACAATTATTATTATTGTAACCAATTGTACCAGAGATTGTTTTACTGTATTTGTTTAACTGTATCGGTTTCACTTCTGCTTTCTCTCTCCGCCTTGTTTGGTTCGAACTTGCTCACGCACTGCCTTTTCGCCTGTACTCTTTGGCACGTCTCGGTATTATTTCGATACCACGAGATCGCCGATAAATACAATTGATCTGGATTAATAAAGTCTTCTGATTTACAAGCTATCAAAGGAACCAAGTCGTTTTTGGGCGCGTAAACGAATTGTAGTGGTGATCATAGTCCGTCTTCGACTCGACATCCACTACAAGTTCTACTTAGTTTGGTAGTAATCTGTGGGTTTATAGGACATGTAGTCTGTGTGAATGCTTTTGTCCATGAGCAGTAGAGTTTATGATAGAAGCAGCTGTTGCATTACTATGTAGGAGGTAGGTAATAATTAAGAAAGGTTTCAGTGCAGAAAAACTAAGAGAAGACGGTTATTTCAATAAGTATGTAGGGCTACTGAAGCGTCACTGAAGCTTAGCCAAATCATCCGGCAGTTGAATTACTGAATATCGAACAGATCATCAGTATCAAAGTCAGGGACAACAAACACACATCAATTAATCACACAGCATGGACTGGCCCATGAGGTGGTGGTTTCACTAACATCTCTCTACTTATTCTTACCAATATATTTACGTAATCACACCCTTTGTGTGATACAGTCTTCAAAGCAGCCATAGTACTTTGATACGTCGGAGGTGTAATCCACGTTGGACACTGACCGCGAGGTGTGGCTTTGAAGTTGGCTGTTTCGTCACACCAATTACGTCTAATTGGAGCAGGCCTCCAATCATTCGATAGAGATCATCATCATTTATTATCTACATTTATATTTTTGTGCTAATGATGTGTGGCAACTTGGATTGATGCCTATATATGCCTGGTTCTAACTTGTAACTGAATGGCTGACGTAAGTCTCCCATCGTCTTACAACTTTTCATCCATAAATTTAACTTTTTATTCCGTGATAAACCTGAAGTCACCGTCCAAAGGCTTAGGTGAATATGTGGAGCTGAGTATTGCAAATATGTAGGGACGTGTTGCAAATGCGATGTGTAAACAGCTCTGATGATTCGTAAAATTAGCCTATCGCGTATCATGTAACGGATAAGTGCCTAAGTCTTCGTGGTGAACCATGAGACTGTATGTACTTTTTTTGAATTATCAGTCTGTACAAGCTGAAATGTACACACTTCCAAAAGAACATGAAAACTAGGTAGATGCTGCTGATATGACCATAAGATAATTGCAATGCACGTGACCGTCTGGTATGAGTGTTACCTTGAATACTACAGGCTTATAACAGTGATTTACCCCATAGTTCAAACTAACTAAATTAAGTATACTTGGTTTGGTATAAATGTTTGATTGTGCTAATCATCATGCCGTCTATTTTCGCCACAGTCATTACCCATCTAAGATCTCTGAGAACAGTGACTTAAGTCCATTGATCATGGGAAGCTACAACATCAGCAATAACTGTCCAGGAGATTGGGTGAAAAATCACTCTCCTATAAATTCAAGACAAGGCACATCGACTCTTAGAATCTTCCCATCACCATCTAAAATCTGCATCTGGCCACATTTCGAAACCCACAATGCAGTTATAGCAGCCATTTTAATAGTAGATATGGATCTCCCAGAACAGATACAGAGGCTGGCAATAAAGTGGGCCGTAAGTCAAAGGGTTATAGGAGAATGAGACATGAACTGATAATAATCTAAACCGTGCGATGAGCTCTTATCTCTTCCCAATAAATATGCCATATTCGAACCTTAATACACTACTTCACGAAGAGATCTGTGACGAAATACACATCAAAGACCTAATACAAAGGCAACACAACACATTTTATCGCTACTGGTCTCCTTTATCTCGAAAGCTCTTCAGAACTATATGATCACAACTCTGTCTTTGATAATTTTGGCGGGAAACTGGATAACTGTGTATATACCTAGTTTATCCTCTTTCACATGGATTACTTGTTAATCACAAACCTGCACTGGGAAATGTGTTTATTATGTATTGCTACATTTACACCATATGCCACAGCTTATCTGTTCTGATCGTTCATTATTTTATGTATCACACTAGATGATCTTATCTCTTACCATCCCCATTCATCTGATATTTTCATACTTTTTACTAATTTATATTCTTACCTAATTAATAAGTTAACTAGTTTATCGACTTATTTGTCTCTACCGCTGTCTTACTGTTTATTTCTGTCGCAAGTCTCAAACCTTGGATATTGTGATTAGCCAGTCGACTGTCTTTTAACAGGATAGCCAGTGATTTAGGTTATCGAGAACAAGTGCATTTATACTGAAAATTTATTTACTACCAACTTCACTAGGATTAATGCAGCAGGTAAGTTAGACCATCCAAACTGAACGACACCAGTCAACTTGAGCTGTAGCTTAACATCAGGAGGCAAACGTAAAGAAATCAGTCAGTTAATATCAACTCGATACGAAGATATTGGATATCGAATAAACAACTAGAATATCAAAACAATCAGTATAATCATCATAGATGAAAGTCTTCAGGGAAAAACTGAATCTTTTTGTGACTGCATCCATCAAACCACCCGCTAACCACGGACTTCGATCAAGCCGACGTACTTAAGGCTCTTAGCACCTTGGACACGGAAAAGTCAACAGGACCACATGAAATACACCCCAAAATCTTGAGACATATTGCACAATAAATCGCGGCCCCACTGACAGTGACGTTCAATATGTCACTTAGTGTATGTTACCTACGGACTTGAAAGGCACAATCGCCACTCCCATACATAAAGCAGGACCAAGAAAATTTCTTTCAAACTACAGACCTCATTAGTGTTTATGATAATCAGGAGTATTTGAATTGTAGTATGAACTAGTAATCCCCGGAATACCGCAATGCAGTCAAGAAGTATTAGATGAGCCCGAACGAATGTATTGTATTTTTGAATTCAAAATTACAGCAGTCATCAATACTAAGAAGTCATTGATTTATTTAAACATCACAGTGTTATAGTTAAAATATTAGAAAGTATAGTCAAACAGACCATAATGGAAACCAATAACCTGTTAAACAGAGAACAACATGATTTTGGAAAAGGTTTTTCTCGTACAATGAGCCTCCTCATTAGAAGGGAATTTCGGATAAATGCTCTGGACAACGAAAACTCAGTGGATGCTGTCTGCGTTGACTTCAGTAAGGCTTTTGACAACGTGCCAACAAATAAACCGCTATTGAGGTCAAAAAATCTAGGTATTGCCGGACCTCTTTCAAAATGGCTTAAGGATTTCCTAGTTAGTCGTAGATAGAAAGCAAGAATGAATTTCAAGTGCTCCACCTGGAGACCAGTACTTAGTGGAGTCCCCAAGGTCCCGTCCTAAGTCTTTTACTTTTTATACTGTATGTAAATGATCTCTCAAGTATGTTACAATCACAAATGTCATTATGCGCTGACGATGGAGACGCAGACACATGAGCTCTTCGGACAGATTTAAATAATGTGATTAACTGGTCGGAATAGTGGCTGATGCCTATCAACGTGGCAAAGTTTGTCTACATGCACTTTGGGGATACAAAGGTTTATAGGTACAGCATAGGGGAAATGCAAGTACCCGTGGTCTCTTCCCATAAGAATCTAGGGGTGACAGTGAATCATGATCTCAAGACGATGGTGCATTGCCAGTAGGTCGCAGATAAGGGGTTAAGAACCCTTTGGGCTTTAAAACGGATATTCGCTAATTTAGATACTACCTTGTTGATTACAGTATACACAACCTTAGTGAAAACTAAGCTTGGGAACTGCGTTCCGGCTGAAAACCCCCTGTCTAAAAGATGACTCGGATATCCTAGAAAAAGTGCAGAGGGCAGCTACCCTTGTAATTCCAGAACTTTGGGGTTTACTATACAAATAGCGGCTTGAGAACTTAGACCTCTTTACAAAGT